TAGCAAATTTATTTATTAATAACTAATTTTTAGATTTTGTTTTTAATTATTCAGAAATCTTCTAATATAAGAAGCAGAATTATCAATGAAATACCTCAAATATTATTTTACAAAAATTTCTGATTTAAATCAAGATAGCTAAGAAAAAACAGAATACTTAAAATCAAAGTCGAGAACTCGTGATATAATATAAAGTAAAAAATGATGTAGCTCCCATATAAATCCATATTTATCTATTCTATGATATCGGTTGATATTAATTTACTGTGGTAACGTAATCTTCATTATTTTACATAGAATTACTGTAATAAGAAGTATTTCGAACGACTTCCGTCTTATACCTGAGCTAAAATAATTGATGACAGATATGACAGATATTTTTCGACACTTCTTCCTTTCGATATTTCCATCAAGAATATATTCATATCTATGAACTAAAAGTGAAACGCGTCAGCAATAATATTTCGATCTTGAGATAAAAACGAGTCAAGAATAGAACTTCTTTTATCGCAGATAAACGTCAAAAAATTCTCGCTAACAAATATTCATAGAAAGCATGGATGTTAATCATAATAAAACATTTAGATTAGATTTAACAAATTCAGACTTAAATTCAATAAATAAGCATTCATTTCAAAAATACATTTACATACACACTTTAGATATTGAAATAATGAAAAATAGAAACAAGAAATAATCGATTTAAGAAAATATTTTGTTGAGTTTAAAATACAATCAAAAGTGAAAAATTATACAGAATAAGTAATGGATCGAAAACTTATGTGCTATAAACAATTCTGAATTAGTTATTTCATTGTATAATTATTTGATTATTACTTGAAATGTAGATATTAAAAAATAGATACAACCAAAAAATCGAGATTCTTTCATTACTACATCAAATCACAAGGTATTTTATAATATTAACATATGTTAATATATCTTGTCTTTATTATTATATGATATATTATATATATTATATTATATATGAAAAAGTTATCTTAACATATTAATTTTTTAAATAAGAATTAAATAAATTACGATTCTCACACTATCTAACATGTGCTAACCTCACATGTGCTAACAAATGTATTTCACACACACACACACCTATATATATTGCCACATGATTGTGCTGATAGCAGATACACGTGTAATAATTAGGAACTTAAATTTTGTTCATGACCAAGAATTTAAGTAAAATAAATATCGAACACATGTAAATGAAATTTATTTTATTTAAACTTTCTATATATTAATGCTAATTAATGAGAATTTTATATCATATTTTATATTATTTATATTAAGTATAAATATTCTTTATATT